AAGGTGCCCTTAGCTGGTACGAGGATAGTGCTATACAACGAAGCCGAAAAGCTGTTAGCCTGAGAGTCGCCAACTTTTTATGAATAATCTACCCAAGGTGGGTCGAACGACCTCAGAAAAAAAAGCCGACTTTGTCTTGCTTTGCTTTCAAATTGAACACGTTGCCACTGTGCTGTCCACGTTTGCCTTCTTCACTAATTCTAGTATTACTGGGCGGCGGTTCTCAGCGCAAGGTTCCTTTCTTGTTTCACTAACACCAACACTTCAGAAGTGTCGAACATAGGGAGCGCTGGCGTTTGCTGTCAGAACTACGAATCGCTCAGCTAGGCTACTGCTCCTGGTGTATTGCCTAGCACACTCCACCCAGTCTACAAAACTGGTGAATATGCAGGGCGGTCGCTGAAAGGAACTCTAAGAAATCAAAAGGAACATGATGATGTCAGATCGTGTTCGAGGGTGATTCGGGCACAGAGCATGTGAGATACAAATTCCATATTTTAAATTCTTTACGACACTACAGAAATCCCTACATTCCATCATCTGAACAAGTCGGATATGCTCTGACACATAGCGACTACTTTGTCCAGATCCAATCTCAGCTGCGCTGGGTAGAGCAGCAAGATTGCCAGTAGAGGGGTAGTTAGAGTATCGGTCATCTTCAAATGGAAAAGCCAAATCCGGAACAGAGTGAACCGTGGATTGAGGAGTGTGTCCTCGCCTATTTGCTGGTTGATCCACTACGTTGGTTGGCGTTTGAAAGATGCTAATCAGAAGTGATGAGTGAGGAAGCTCAAAAATAATTTTAGAAAAATTGATTTTAGCCACGTTAGGCAGCGTGTAAAAGGGCTGAACAAAGTGTAGCTCTCGCAAAACATCTCGACCCTTCACCCCTTTTTCTCGACACTTTCTATAGCAAGAATGTGAAATGATTCACTTAAACTTATGGACAACCTAAAAACCTATTGAAAATGCTAAAGATGGTCCTGCCGCTCTTATTGCCCATTTTGTGGCGATTGCTTTGTTGTGAATCCAATCGTAGATTCTATACAAAGCCTTATTTCTGGCCTATTATTTTCGAAATTGATCACGGCTCGGAAAAGTGGCTCAATGATTTCTTCGAGGGAAGTCTAGGAAATTTTGGCAAGACGTCGTCGTGGAATGGGTGGATAGTTGTAAGTAGGTAGTGAACGCTGTTGGAGAATACACAGTGAACATACCGCAAACATTTACAGTTAACATCACAAACGATTCACAAAAAACCACGAAACTTTTTCCCTAACATGAGCAGATGCCCCAGCTCAAACCCATGATTCTGTTGGATAAAAAAGTGTTGATAAGTGACAATCGCCATGCGTCCTGGCTTTCATTCGTAACGAAGTGGCAATTGAATGCAATTTAGTCCAAACAAAGAATTGCGGAGTCAATCGATGAACAATAATTCTAGCCTTCTCCTCGAGAATCAACTGTAGAGCAAACGAATGAACAGGAGGAAGAAGATGATGGCTCAGAACAAAAGCAGCTTAGAACGGACGCCTTCGCAGTGAGTTGTTTATGGGTTATTCACAAATTTTCTGATCTATGGGTAAACAAAATAACAATTACAAAGATTCGTGAACCCATCTTGCATCAGGGGTCCTCTGCGGTTTTCTGGGTTGCTCATTCTCTTTCTCCTATCAGTTCCCTGCAATCAAAGACTACCGTTATTTTGCCACAGGCAGGGGCACCCTCTTTAGCAGTGCTTTATACGGCTGCTATAGCCCTCGAAACGGGCTGGTGGAGAGCAAACAGCTATCCAAAGCGGACTGTTTCTGCAGAATTGTTTCTGGGAATATCCTCAGACGATATAACACAACGTACAGACAGACAGTGCTAAAAGCTAAGTCACGAGTAAGCGAATTCAGTCCCGATCTATCCCGGAGGTGCGCCACGCACTCGATTTCCTTTGAGAATAGGTGCCATGTGAGTGCGTGACGCTATTGTGCCATAACAGTGTCAATAGAATTAAGCGGAACAAAGCACTCATTGTTGCTAAAATTTGTCTTATGAGAATTATTGATGGTCCAGGTTACCCATTTGAATTCATTTTGGCACCCAGCATCTTTGATGTTAGTTTCCACCCCCTCATAAGAAGTCGAGCAGCTACTGAGTATTCTATCAAAAGATTCTAAACTTTTTCCTGAGCATCACATACCGTTATTCTTACCATTTAAGGCCTATTTCTCTGACGGTGGAACATCTTCTGAAGAGCGGCGGCCTCCCGTTTACAGTGAAGAATTAGGATTAGCGGTCGAGCAGCTCAAGCAAGGTTTCACGATAACTGATCTGTGGAATATATACGTTGACTAAATTTGATTGTGTGGCCCGAGGAATGAAAATAATTTCTGAAAAAAGTGCCACATGTTTATTTTCCATTACTTCTAATAAAGATATTTATTCTGATGGATGTGCCTTTAACTTCGAAGTGAAACTAACTGTTCATTCGAGGTGACTACTTCGACTAGTTGCACTTGATGCAAACATTTTGACGGCTGCTCTATCGTTTTTTAGATGTCGGAGCTTCTTTCGCTTGAAGATCGAATCTCACCAAACTTGGCTGTTCTATTTTCCTTGTGTCCAAACGTGGATGACAAACTCTTCCTTGCAGCACTTGAGTGGGGAGTCGCGCGGTATAGAAAGACACACTATATTAGAAGAAGAAGATTCAAAAGGTAGATACGACTTGTATTGAGATATTGCATACTGTTGATGTAAAATGGACGATGGATTAGTTTGGTCCAGTGGATCAAAGGTTAAAAAAATGATAGGACATTGCCTGTAGACGGTCTTTTTGGGATGCGGACACGCATTCTACTTCCATTCGCAATCGTAGTAGCGTTTGAATGCGGTTGGCCTATACAATGAGTTGCGGAAGGCCAGCCGATGTATACGTCTGTGATTTTATGCTCCCAGGCGAGCTTGGTACCAACGCAGGATGAAAGTCGGGTGCGACCTCACGGTCATCCGCGGCCTGAAAAAGCCACTGACCGCGGTCATACCTTGCGACTACCTGGCACATAATCTATTAGCTTCCACGTCTCGTCACACTGTGAAAGTAGATAGGTATCGACCCTTGCGATCATCATAATCTTTTTAGGCCTTCATGTGCACATTTGCCGACAATGATCTATGGACATTGTGGGCAGCTCTGCCTACTGAAGGAACTGACCACCTAAGGCATCGTGGGAGAGGGGGGAGGTGCCTCTGAAGATTTTGGATCTAGAAAGTTTGCAGTGTATTTTAACATCTGCTAAACGAAGCAAAACGAGCGAAATTCGCCTGGCAACTATGAGTAGATCTTGCTTTTATTTCTGATAGCCGGCTATCTAGTAATTGACATTAGAAGGACAGTAGCATTTTGAAGTCGTAGAGGGAAACTATACTCTCGTAAAGCTCTCGTGTTTTACATACTTTTGTGAACCCTCCGTCACCTGTATGCGGGCTCTACGTTTACCAAACAGCTGGAAGCCATCCATGTGAACATGTCACAGTATAGCAGCGTTACTCAGCCGCTGTGCGAGCCGGCTCGCGCTTATTGCATGTGTACAATCTGGATGTCGCATATTTACGAGTTTTGCCTTACAACTTTCTTGAAGTAATTGCAAATTCTGGAATGGCTCATTGCACGGCATAGAAACGCGATACTTTAAGAATTCCCCGGCGCTGCTGCCGCAAGAGCTACTTACTGATCCATGCCCCAGCGCTAAAACCATCCGCCCACTTCCATGCTCAGCGATGCGGACCAAGCCTTCGGAGAAAGCCTGGCGGATCTGTCTCTTTGACCTCCGTGCTAGAGCTGAGAGGACTATATCATTGAAAGCTATAGTCGGTTGCGATCCGCAGCTCCCAGCGCTACTTCCAACTGCAATCAAGTTTTGCAGATAGAAAGACCGATCGAAGATTCTATTGGGAGAACACGCCTTGAACACGCGTCGCCCTCGCGTCGTTTCGAGGAGAGAAAAGACGGTCTAGTTTGTCTTCTTTCCCTTCGCGGGACGACCTACAGCTGACACAGCTTCGTTTTTCACGAAGCACGTCTTCATATCCTCGACCAACGACGGTAATTTAAAAAATGTTTTGGGCTAGATTTCTCTGAATTCCTTTCTCTACTACCTAATGCCCATTTCAGTGACCTTTTGGAGTCTTTCATTTGTCCTCAAAACAGTCTGATCCTTTTGACTTGTAGGTTTCAGACTGAGTAGACAATTCCACTTTCGGCTGTCACCGTGCACGCTGTAATCTGTTGTATAGCATACTTCCTGATCATTTTCGGATAACTGATGCTTTGTTGCTATTTTCCTTCAATCAACGGTGAAGTGTGAATACTGCAAGACTTTCTGGAGCCGTCTTAGCAGAGCACTACTCTGATAACTAAGCCAGGCTTTGAGTTTTTAAATAGTCCTTCAGAAGTTACCTTAGTGTGTCACGTTAGACAAGAAATTGATTCCAGCAATAACTGACCGAGACTACAAGCAGGATTTCAAAAGAATAGATGCAAAAATGTCTGTTCGTTTATTTGAAATATAATTAATAAAGTGAGTAGCATCACATGTGTACACAACAACTGAAATCAAACAATTGCGGCGATGATTTCACAACGAACAATCGACCGCAGTATTCACCCATTAGACAGAAAAAGATATGACTCTGAGTGAAGCTTATTTCGAAATTTACATAAAAGCAGGCAGTTGAAGAAACAATAAACATAAACAGTGTCTGTCATAGTGCACCTGTTGAGCAATGGAATGCGTGATTATATCCACAATATGAGATATTTGACATAACACTGCTATCGTAAAAACATGCAATGTAACAAAATGAAAGATATAATTGCCTAGAGGCAGTGATTATTAAAATATTCCCTACATTTGTGATTGGCTCCATTGTTCTCGTTCGTGCTGTAATTCGGCACGATAGAGGCTGGGCTCGTACTTTTTCCTTTTGAAAAAACCACACCGCCACAATATTAACACCACAACAAGAAGAATAAGAAGGCCTATTAAAGCGCTGACTAGGATTATCCACCATGGAACAGGACGAGATCCTAAAATAAATCTGCTATCAGTAGAACCAGCGAGAAGCGCTAACCCAAACCGAGTGATTTTCAACATTAAAAATTAGAATGAAAAAACCAACAACTAACCAAGAGCAGGTCTGTCAGGGTATGCGAGCGTTTTAACGCTAATTGCATTATTACTGGGATCATCTTCAATTCCTTGGTTTGTGTCCAGCTCAATTCTGCCATATGAGGCAATTTCTACATATTCCACGTCGGAATAGTCCTAAAATTGAAGCATAAATAGCTCAATGAATATCCAAAAAATGAACGATTTTGTTTCAACCTCAATGAAAGTTGTGTTCCATAATCGAGCCCGGAAATCGATGACGGGTGCCGAGTTCGCGTCGAGGAAGTCGAAATGGCACGTAACCGTAAAGCATTTAGCTGTCTTCTCTGCGCATCCCTAAACAACTCATTTTTGAACATTGAACAAGGACATTGCCGTGTTATGCAAAAGAAAGAACTCACGATAGTGACAACGGAAACATCGACACCATTTTCCTTGCGTTTATGAGGCTCTATTCGTGAACGCAAAAAACCAGCTTCCGCAAGTGTCTGTGTTCGCTGCAAATGGGTTGAGTTACCCAACTTGATAATGCTTTTACACTAGTGATTGATGCAGTCTTGACGAAAAAAAGTTTACCTTAACACGTCGCGTTATAGGTGGAGCATGTGTTGTTTCCTGTGTAGTGTACTTAGTATTGAGTTTGATATGGTCCAGTGGATTCACATGGTCAAGTTTGCGTTCAACAGAACACCTAAAGAGCATAAAAATAGGGTGTATTGGGCTTGAAGATGAGCACTCCTCAGTCAGAAACAATTTCAAAGTACAATACTGATATCGAACCGCCTGTAGCGGCAACTACGGATACGGAAAACATTCTATGGAGTTATTAACCATAGAATCACCCCTTAACAAGAGAAGAGCCCTGAAGTGAGGACGTGCTTTTTGAACAGCACTGTTTCGAACCTAACTCTAAACGCTTTGAAGAAATGAGATCAGAGGAAGTTGGTTAACTTGTCTAGTTCTCTAGGATAATCGTCAATTTAACAAATGCGTAAAATAATACGAGGATCCGGTGGTACTAAAAATCAAACTGTAATTGTGCAGAACTTCTGAAGTTAGTAGTAGTAGAGTTGAGAACGTTTCTGTTGTGGTTGTCGGAAAAGTTTTTGCTATCCTGTGCTTTTTTCCAAATTCTTCTCTAGCAGAGACAACAATTGACAAATATATTCCCCATCATTATCGTCAACAAATTGCCTCTCAGCAGGTAGCATGTGGATGCCGTGTTTAGGAATCTGAGAAGCGGAAAGACTAGTGGAAGAAATCCTTTTTGAGTCGGTCCAGATGATCAAACTCTCTCTCTTTTAGCTAGTTTGACAGCGACGGAGGCAGATAATCTTCTGATGCCGGGACTGCTGAACACAAAAGGGGCTCAGAACGTCCCAAAAAGAGCATTGAGATTTCTGCAAGATCTATTTCGTGATTCGTGGATGAGCGTTATCGAGGTAATGGACACTTTGCCCTGATTTCGAAGCATTGTGCCAACGAGCCCGTCCATTTGTTTACTCTACTGTTCACCAATAGTTGTGGAGTTCTTTAGCAACAACAACAGCCTTGTTCTGGGATCTTTGACACAATCCCAGAACAAGGCTGTTATCGCGTTATATCTTGAAATTTTCTGATTGAAAATCCCTTTGACAGCTCACCTTCGGATGTCTACGGTACCATCAGTGTTGTATATTGTTACAGTAGGCACATCAAGAAGGTAAAGAGCCCATTTTCCTTTCTGACGAGGCGATTCGACTTGGTAAGGCCATTCAAACTGGAAATGATACTTTTCACCATAACCATTGGAAATATCGCTACCACAAAACATCAAGCACTTCATAAATAACTGTTGAAGCAGAGGAAAAAGAAACCTTGGCGTAAACATTGCGAACAGTCCATGGTCCTTTATTGTGCAAAGTGTAGTTATGACGGACCATAACACCAATGTCTTCTTCTAAGTCCATTGAAGATTCGTCTGAAAAGTTGTGAGACCTATCTTTCGCAAACACATAACTTCCCTCACATCCCTTTTAACCACATTAACTACCAACCTTTAATTTCGCCACCAAATCGAACGAGCGGAGGATCGCTAGTTCCTACGAGTTCCATTTCTGCCCTTTTAATTATCTGGAGGTCTGATTTCCACTCGTTATCTCCTAAACATGAGCAGTTAGAAAGGCTTTTCGGAAAGTGGTGCATTAATAGCTTTCGCACGCCGACAAACATTTCAAATCAACTTTTTGTACGTCAATCGAGAGCTCACCTGGATTTGTTTCTTTCGACGTGGAATTAACAATAGCAGAAAACTGAAGCGGTCGACCGATCCCTTCGGTTCTTCCGCGCATCAGCTTGAAGCGAAGGTCAAACGAATGCTAAAAAAGTGGCAGTTTTAACAGGTTGAAAACAAAATCTTATTCCCACGAACACTCACATTAGAGTCCATGAGGATTGCAAGGGTGCGACGCTACACGAGCATTTTATCAATCGGTATTCACCAACCAAGTGTTTACTCCTCCACATATAACAAAGACGTGTTATTAGGACAAGCCAGCTCAAGCTTCACGCAAGTCAACACAACTCAAGACTAACCAACTAGACCATGGGAAGGTTGAAGTTCTTCTGCGATTGTACGTAAGGGTAGTAGTGTGCTTTGATACGCTTCTCTATTACGGATTTCTCACGGATGTAATGTAGAGAATAATCTTGTTCGCCACACATGTCGAACACATATCTGTTCAAGCTTTAATACTACCAGCTGAAGCATTTAATTTTTAACGAAGGAACGTAGTCACTGACACATACAAAATTCCCATGGTAGGAGTAACAGAATGAATTTTCAGGCATACAAACAGCCTCTGCTGCTCGAAAATTAGCCATGAAGTCTCTGAGGAATATTAAATCATGAAAATTACTTACTTTGGTATGCCAACGAACACCGCTTGTATTGAAGGGTATCTAAATATGTAGTTGGCGCTCTTGTATTCAGAAAAATTTGAATTGAATTTTAGTAGCCAAAAAATGATGTGGCCTTCCCATGTTGAATTTTTAGCAGCTTCATTTCAAGAAGATCGTAAAAAAGCTCCAAAAATTGAATTTAGAAGGCTTTTTGCTGGGGTGAATGAGATACAAAAGCTGCTCACCTGGAACTCGTAACTGGCACCATATTTATTAAGAATCGGGTACTGCTTGAGATCAACGATGGGACGGCCTTCAGCCGGATGGAATGGTTTTCGTTCATTCATTATTCTCACAGTAAAGCGGAACTTGAGGGGGTTTATCCAGTCCTTCGCAGCGTTATCATTTTCCTGGAAGATTTGGTTTGCAAAAACCATGAGCTACGAGGTCGAGTCAGAAAGTAGGTGGGCAACTGACGGGTATGTAAATAGTCTCGATATACTTCTGTCGTCTACGATGAGCATCACGACCACATGGCCAGCTATGATTTGTTGAAGCAGAACTTGCTATAAATCCTCTTAGTGGAACACCTTGTTTCACGGGAATCACCTGGAATGAGCATGATATTTTCTATTAAGTGGCCGATTTAGGTCGATTCAAGATAAAACGAACCTCTAAGTTGCAAGTGAATACGTTCGAATTGAAGTCGACTAGATCCGCTCCTTTGGAAGGATCGTGATCAACAAAAATCTCGAGATCGAGTGGGAAACTGAAAACAACGTATGAGAGTCAATTTGCTGAAGCGCAGACATTTACAGCATAAAACCTCACCATGTTTTAGCACCGCGTGGACAATTTCTACCCTTCTCAATATCAATGAATGGACTAGCTGTTTTATGTGTGGCCATAATGCTGATCACAGGTCTTGACCTGTAAAGAATAAAAGTGATGTTTGGCATTAGGACCGCATCAAAATATTCGTGTTGCTAACCGTAGTATAGTAACAACTCCTCCAGTTACCGCTCCGACAACAAGATCGGGATAGCCGTTGCCGTCGAGGTCAGAGCCACCAGACAAAGAAAATCCGAACGATTTAACTGGACGACGGAGATTTGGCAGATCGGAACTCGTGATAACCTGACATGGATAATAAAATATAAGGACTACCAACAACAAACAACGGACTACAATTTTGATCGCAGAATGCCAGGTGTAACAATGGGTTATTTAATGGAATACTTACCTGAGCAGGCGTCCTTCTGAACTCTTTTTTGGATTTTTCTCCCAAGTACACGTAAACAGCTCCTTTCCCTTCATTGGCGAACGGTGCACCGACAGCGAAATCTGGAAGAGAATAATATGAGCATTTCAGCCATAAGACAGCAGTAACTCCATGTAATAATGATACCATTGTAGCCACGCTTGTCACCGTCCAGGTTCCCCAGCTTTGTTATTGAGAGACCGAATTGAGAGAAAAATCCAGGAGCTTTGAGCGTGATGGGAGGATGGAAAACTTTCGACGATTCACCCTGCAGAAATGATTTCGTGTGAGAACTAGAGAACTACTCACAGAATGTTGAAGCTGTACCTTTCTACGCTCTACTCCTTGTGAAAAATATACATAAACTATTCCACCAAAGTGTCCATCAGTGTCAGCGCGATGTTCGAAAGGAGCACCAACAATAAGATCGTCAAAACTTGAAAAGAGAATACATATATTTCGTGCTTTCCGCATAAAATCTAGTAGACTAACCCGTCGTTGTTGAGATCAACAACCTCAATCGCGTAGCCAAACGCTGATCCCATTTTAGTTCCATTCAGTACGAATTTATCTTCCGTGAATGTCAGCAGCTCACCACGATCCTGAACAATTCATAAAAATGTTACATCACCAGAGTAATCAACGGAAATCCACCAGTGACGACTTTATGAGAAAAAGAGCGATGTGAGTGGAGATCAAATAAGATGAAGATTTTGCTAGAATAAACCATACTATACAGTGGAAAACGTAGACACTTGAGCAAAAGAGGAGGAAGCGTAATTAAAAGAGCAGAAAGAAAAAGAATAAAAACGAAATTACTAGCCAAATGCTGAAGTACTAAGAAAATGGATATTTTGAAATGAAATGTGAAATCCCTTATTTTCGGTAGAATACCTTAGTGAAAGGAAGGAACACCACAGCTCCATGTTGACCGAATCGCGTAGCGCCAGAAACAATTGTGGCCTTTTCTCCTTTTTCATACCTAAAGGTAGATTAAGAATCTTTGTGGTTTGACGATACTGAGGAAATCGTCGACGAGAACTGATTAGTTGCCCTCCAAATGACACCCACCAAAATCCAAATCGGCCAACGTCGACCGAATAACCAAGGTAATCATGGGCAGCAAGCATCGTTCTTACTCCTCCTTCTTCAGGTGCCATGGTATACTTTTCGATCTACAAAAAACTGATCAGATGGGAATCAGCATACTTATACAAAAAAAACTGATCGAGATGGGAATCAGCATACTTATACAAAGCAAAACAGATAAACTGCAAGTTCACTTTTCAAAAAATTAAAGTAGTTATGGCATGTCGAAAAACTCAAAAAACAACACGTAATTTTAACTGAAGAAGAATTTTTAGGACTAAGGACTCTCAAACTCCTTAAAGAAAAACTCCTTTTTATCAACAAATGAGCCACACTTGTGGTTGGACACAACAACAAAGCACGAAAAAATATGCGGTCAAAAAGCCCAACTAAACAAACTGAAAATAATGCTTACAGGTCGTGCCAAAAATGCCTCCTTCCGCCTTGCGGGCATACACTCCACCTGTCCACTTACACTGGGCGCAATCAGGTCGGGCGTTCGACCCATAACGTTCTTAAACATTAACTGCTCGTAATTCTCGTTATAGCTTTTAATTAATAATGCAAAACATGGTCTCAAAAATTAACAGTGATCCAAAAATATCGGTGTTTTTGTGAGATATAGCGAATAAACGTTGACGTCGAATCACACAACTGATGAGTATAATCTTGCAAAACAATCAGCACGTACCCCAGAAATAGCAGCCGAGAATCCTTCCATACAAGCCCGTATTCATTGTGTCGATCAGCTTAGGAAGATTCTTCTGAAGGCAAGTGGTGTAAGTTCCACCCAGAGTGAGATCAGAATTCAACTCGTAACATGCGCCTTGCGTGTACGCACTTGTGTTGTGAAATCGCATTAGTGGAGCGCAGACCTATAAATTCACGGGAAGATGGAAGAATTTTCTACAGTTCGAAAAATTATTAGCACTCACAACAGCTCCTCCTCTCCTGGTGCCCTGAGAAGCTAGGGAAGCGCCGAGAAGTTCTCCATTTTTCCCAAGATAGTGAACCTCACGTCCTGTTAGTGTTAGATCCGGTGACTTCAGATATGATGATTGGTCCTCGTATTCAGAACGAACTTGTTCACACCTGAACACAATCACCTGTGCTACAGATATGGAAATCAAAAGCACACAAAAGCGAAGTTACTGATTCCTGGGTACTGATATTGATGAATAGTAGGATTTTGAAGATGCTTAGTAGAAAGAAAAAATACGGGAGACCATAGCTTGAGGAGAAGGATCAATGAAAGGCATGAAAGAAGAAGGACCGTGTTGCATATCGGGATAGCGTGACGAACGGTATAATTGATTGGTGACAAAAAGAGGGGCGTCATCCAGTAAGGGGGCATCAAGTGGCTGCCCTCACCCCCGTCCCCTAGACTGCCTGCACTCCCCCTGGCGCACAGGTTTCTCGAAGTACGGGACCCCGTGGGCCAGGGGGAGTGAAGGCAGTCTAGGGGGTGGGGGTGAGGGCAGCCACTTGACGTTGCTGGGTGCCCCCTACTGGATGGAGACCCAGAATTTGTTTTTTTGAACAGAAGCACCTTAGCGAAAGGACTTGTCATTGGTAACCGAGGAGAAATCAGAGACGAGCGCTGCACCAAAAAGAGTTTAAATAATATTTCTACGCCATCACTATTGAGAAATTCACAGAAAAGCCTCTTACCATTCGGATCCATTGCCAGAGTATCTGGTGTTAATAGGACAGGCGAATCAAAGCGCCAGCTTGAATCGTCCCAACTTGGCCTGATTCCGCACGAGGAGCTCCAACGAGCACTCTGCAAAAAATAAGCATCAAATAGATACAATGAACAATAAGAAACCACCCTGTAGCGGAGACTTTTCCGAAACTTGAGTCCTAATAAGTGAGCGAATAACCGTTCGCCGTTTCAGTGGGACCAGCATAAAGTTATAGACGAAGGTTTTGAGCCCGTTTTGGGTTCTATTCGAACGTTTGAAACACATCCAGCTTTTCAAAGAGTGCAAAGATGGAGTGTCGTCGACAAGGCTGGATGCAGGAAATGCAAGTCGCTGGCAAAACATGGATGAATCTTCAGGCTTATAACCATTCGGATCATTCTTGAGCTGAGACCACCCTATCCAAATAGCTGGCAATTAAATCATGGAGATCAACCAAGCGTGAAATAATCTGACTACCTAGTTTAATTTCACCGATGGAGAATCATGACGAGATTGACGTCATGATCGAAAACGTGCGGAGAAGGGATTAAATACACACAGCTCATTTCGAAATAGGTGGGATGCAGCCAGTGATATTGATGGGCAGGAATAAATTCAATTATTTTAGTTGAAAAGGAATTCTCTCGATTATGTGGCTTTTATTCCACCGTTATAGGAGCTAAGCTATGCATTTTCATGGAGATGATCGAAAACAGGCTGCGTAGGCCAAAATAGATCAAGAAATGTTGAATGCTGCTATTGATTTTGCATTCAAAGCATACTGATAAGCTTTAATTCAGTAGCATTATCGTTATTCAACGATGACCTGTTATGCTGCAAAACTCGTCCTGGCGCCATACTGATAAGGGACGTTTTGATGTAGAACACCAAAGGCAAGCCGAAGTGGATGAGGAATTTCGCCCTCTGGAGGTGGTGAATCACTTCCCACAAAAATAGTGATACTGGGGGCAAAAATTGGAATTAAAAAGAATGCCAAAAAAAGGAAGTGGTTCGAATTGAGGACAGACGACAAAACTCTTTTTGCGCAAAGAAAGTTATCCATTCATCCGGCGTTCCTTTTCTCTAAGCCTAAGCAAAATTCTCGTCCCCTAGTTCACAGTTGCTTCCTCAACCATTCAGCAGCAAAAGCCGTTAAAAATATAAATAATTCGGAGCGCAATGTGGCTGGGGGGGGGGCACTCTGAGAAAAGTCATCTAGGACTAAGCCTAAACAGGAGGGACGAACTCCGGAGAATACGAAAATTGCTTCCGTACACCGGAGTTCCTCTCTCTTCAAAAGCTTAGTCCTAGAACGGCGCGTTTTCCGTAATTTGATCGCATGTTGCGACGGCACAGCCGGGGTGCCCCCGCCAATGTATCTGATAGAGGACGGCTCTTGACTGATGTAGCAAACACGTAAGGCAAGCGAGAGTGGTATGACGGCAGTCGACGCTCTGCGCACGAAATTCCCCCTCATCCATTCGGTCTTTGCGACTTTGGTGTGAACAGTCAGTTTCCGCACTCAAAGTACTTATGACTGTGCCGGCGACAAAAAACATCATGGGAATTAGAATACAGCGTATAGGGCTCAAACAGTTAAAGGCGCAAGTTGGTTCGAATGGCAGGACGCGGCACCAAGACTCTTGTTGCACATCAGAAATGGTTAGCCCGATTCGTCGCGCGTCCTTTGGGTCGCCTAACCTACACGCAAACTCCATACGATCTCCGTAAGGTGTCACAGATTGCTTACCTCAAACCATCCAGCAGCAAAAGCCGTTAAACATATAATTAATTGGGCGCAATGTGGCTCGGGGGGGGGGGGCACTCTGAGAAAAGTCATCTAGGACTAAGCCTAAACAGCAGGGACGAACTCCGGAGAATACGAAAATTGCTTCCGTACACCGGAGTTCCTCTCCTCTTCAAAAGCTTAGTCCTAAAACGGAGCGTTTCCGTGATTTTGACGCGATGTTGCGAGGTGCCCCCCCCCCGAGCCACATTGCGCGTTTATCTTCCAATAGCAGCTAGCTAAGAACTAGGACAGAAGCATTGGATAGAGTCAAAACAAACTCCTTGTGTAAAAATTGGGATTTATCGTTAATCGGCCGAACTGGTTACACCAAAAATGATTCGCCAGAACCCTATTCGATCTAAGGCCCTAGGGGTCAAAATAAAGCAAGACAACACTTCAGACAGTATTTCGATTTACAAAGGTAGTGCCTGAAGCGCGACCGGGATTAGGTTTTGTTCATTTAAAACTTTGAAAATATGAATGTTCATCGTTGTAAATGCAATCATGCAAGAATCTAATAAAACCAGAAAAACGTGATGGAACGATAAACTCACACAGGCACGTCGCCCTTGAAATGTTCGGCGACAGTGTAGCCGAAATATGTGCCATCATGTCCGTATTTGTATATCGGAGCGTGGATATCCAAATTGAAAGCGAAAATCGCAACGAAATTAGACGACAGTAAACCGAAGAGAGTAAGAGACGAAATCGGCGACGGGCGGCGACGAACGCCCTCGTCGTTGCAACATTGACCTCGACAATATAGGGTAGCGATGATGGCGAATACCGTTACGATGGTGATAAATTAATGGTGGTGCTGGGAGTGAGTCATCGTCGTTGAAGATTGCGATGATAAGGGCAGCACTCGATCGATCGTCGTCGTCAGCCCGTCTGCCGCCCTGCAAAAGACTGTACACTCAAAGTGAGACAAAGAAGTAGCCGATGACTCGCTGAGTCATCGACGTGAAAATGCCTCGAATTCACCGCGACGACGAGTAGGAACATTCGACAGCAGTGAGTCAGAAAGAGAGTGGGAGGAGGGGAAGGCGCTACACACCAGTTGAAAAGGAAGATAGGGTATAAAAAAAAGAAACAAGAACAGAGCCGAAAGACGACGCAACGGGACAGACGCAACCGGTCGGTGCGGATCACCTGCGAGACTCCGGTGGAGGGCGTCGCGCCGCGGTGGATTCCACCCGCGTCGCGACGTTTGCACAATGTCCGTCCGACGCCCAAAGAGGTCAATACGTTACGAGCTCGGCCGGCCGACGGGCTGGGGCCATCGCCCGAACCCTCGTCAACAAGCCGGCAAACAACGTCCATCCTGAGTTGGCAAATAATCCGCTCGAATCCTCTGACCTCTGCGCTCCTCTAATGTCAGAAAGAAGCTCACCCATCACCTGAGCGCGGCGGATTGGGTTTCAAGAGGCAAGTGACCAGAAAGATCGTTTTCACGGAAGTGGGGGCTAAAAACGAATGTCAACATTTTTTCGATTGATCGCGCAATTCAGTCGAACGAAAAGAATGAGGTATTCAGCACCGTTCATCATTTTCGAGATGCGCCATGAACTCGACTGGGTTTCTTTATCACCAGAAACAAACAAAAATTAAAAGTTCCATAAAGCAAAGCACAAAGATACGAGATTATAGAAGAATGTGCATGTGTTTGAAAGGGAACGAGTGTCAGTGAGAGTCGTCACTTTGCATTCATTGCGAGCATCAAGGGCCTACACTCCCCATTTACGGCCATTCAGTGGGCGCATTCGGAGTGGAGGGCGACCGCACCCATATGGCTCTGATAGTAATCTCCGTATGTAGCAATTCAGCTGAGTCCTCCAATCAAGGCTAGTCGAGCGATCAGAAAAAGGGCAGACAAATTTATGGGAGGCGGTTGCTTAGTCAAATCATTGTATTTGGGTCGATGCGAAGGAATCCCAGCGACAGGGGACGGCATAGCGCACTTCTGAGGATTGAAGCCCTTTTCCGTTCGCGTGGGACGTGCGTCTGCTGAACAACGAAAGTACTTTTTTTTCAGAATTTTGAATTCAAATTGAGCAAGCGCTGCACTCAGGAATTGCCCTGCTTATCAGTTTCACTATGTCTTACCTGATTAGAGCATACCGGGTTCGTAGTTGCCGAAAAATGCTTGAAAAAATGAGAAATTTGCAAATCACATCGTCGTTATTCCTGGCTTAATCTCCGCTATAATTCATACATTATTGTACGAAAGCAGGTCTCAAAAATCGGTCTCCTGGCTGCTTATCGGTCGTAGTTGCGCTAAGTGGTCCCGTCGAGTGGTCATCACTTGTCGGCTCTGCGGACAGATGCATGAGCTCAGAATTGCCTGTCTATAAGAAATCCCCAGGGAAGACGAGCAGCTTCACTTGGGGTTAACCTTCCGTTTGACCGAGTCAAATGGGGCGATCGTAATTGCGATTTTTTTTGGGGGGGAGGGGGAGTGGGAGTTGTATTCAATAATTCCTTCCAAAATGTTCGAAGGTAGTTTGTGGATGACCTCTTCGCGTTTGAAGGTTGGGTGGAAGGGGGGAGGGGGAGGTTATATCGAGACCATTTTGGGAGAACCCTTGTGGTAGATGGTCGTAAAAAATTTGAGATCTAAAATCGCAAACGTGCAAATACGACCTCTAGTGTTCGAATGGCTCAAAAACGACTGCTGACACTGCGCAGAACATCTTCCATTGGAGTTATTCCTCTCGATTTGGGAAAGGTCCATACATGAAAGGATAAGTGTGAAACGAATGGAATTAGTCATTCTCCTTTGTAGCGCATCTTGCTTCTACACAGAATGAGGCTGGCACCTCAATGCGATCTGGCTATACAATGCCTTGCAGGGCCGACCGATGAAACTAGTCGAAGCCATTATCCTACCAGATGAGTATGATGCCAGTTGTGGTCAAAGTGAAAGAGGCAGAGGGCTTGGATGGCCCGGGTCTGATTGGTTCGCGAGTTTTAACCCTTAGACCCTTGGTGTAATAGGCGGCGACACGGGAGCTGTACCACCTCCGCTGGTCTAATAGA